TTTGTTCATTGATTGCTCTTAAATCCTGTAGGAGTCTATATTTACCTGACTATTTCTTTATAACAAAATATAGGAGTGTTATGTATGCTTGTCGAGGGCTCTAAATGTCCCAATCGGAGTTGCTCCCCGACCAGTTCCTTAAGGGCAGACAACTTTGGGTCAATGATTAGCCACTGCCCCACCCAGACATCTGTATTTGAGAGCCAAGCCAAGGGAATGGGATCTGGTGCCATCTTTGGAAATGGCTCATGGTGGGCAGTGGCCTCTAGAATTGGGGGTGGTTCTGGGAATGGTCCGGACGTCCCGAGAGGCCTATCTTATCATGGGTAATGATATCATCAAAGAAGGCACTGTCATTAGTGGTTAGGGTGGTTCCCATGTCCTCCAAAATGTCCCTTCCCCAAAGATTGTGAGGGACATTGGCCACTGTTGGGGAAAATGAGCCCTGGTTGCTGTCAAGATCCTTCCAATATACAGGCTGGGCTGTAGCCCTGGTAGCCTGTTGGCCTCCCACCCCGGTTACTGAGGGGCCTGGGTTAAACTTCCAATGAGGGAATCTGAGTGCCTTGGTTTCTGTGAGGAGGTGATGCCTGTCCCCATGTCAACTAGCCCTTTAACGGGCAGACCATCAAGATAAACAGTCATCATGGGTGAGTGGGGGAAAACAGGCAGAGTCCAATATACCTTGTGGTTGGAACTTGACCCTCTTACTGGCAGGGCTGAGGGTTGCCCTGCTGGGAGTTTAAATTTGCTCTGTTGGGTTGTTGAGCGCCTGAGGGCTGGGAGCAGCAGTTGTGGGCCCAGTGAAGGCCCTTGTTGCATTTTGGGCAGTAGGTCTTAGGATGCAAATTGGGACAATTGCGGCGCAGGTGGCCAAGTTTGCCACAGCCCCAGCAGGTGTGATGGGGGGGTCGGCCCCCTTTGAGCGGTCCCTCGTTGGATTGCTGTCTGTCTGACAAGAGGGCATCAAGGGAGGTGGTCAGAGCCACAATGGGGCCGGAGGCAGGATTGAGATCTCTGGTAGCTAAAACCCATTTGTGGATATCATCATTGCGGACAGCTGCCACCGCATTATGAGTGGGGGCATTGAGGCCTTCCCAGGTTAATTGTTTGATAAGCATATCTCATGTAGGGCCAGGATCGACCCTACATTCAACTGCCTCTGTAGCTCTTGTAAGAAAGTCAGTGAAAGATTCCCCAGATTGTTGGACGAGATTGCGAAAGTACGCAGATGGGTCCCTCGGGGTACATGCCTTGAAGGCCAGATCTGATACCTGTTGAAAGTAAGCATAGGCACCTATGGTAGACTGGGAAACGGTCAATGTACTGACCATGACCCGTGAGCATATCCAGGGTTATATTGAGTCCATATTGGAGATTGAGCCAAGCCTGTGTTTTGGCCTGGTCATCATAGGCAGAGTGCCAGTTAAGGAATGCAGAGGGCTCCAGGACGGCTTTAAGAAGGTGATACCAATCATAATAGGTTTGCAGTTGAATGGCCCATTGGTGTGAAACCTGCTCAAAATATGGAGAATCTGAGCCCGACTCATTAGGTGCCTTTTGAATCAAGGAGAGATCTGTAAGAGGGGTAGGTATCCAGGGCTGATTTTGCTGCATTGGGCCCTACATTGACAGGGTAAACCTTAGGGTATTGTCCTGGAGTTGAGGGGGGTGGCACAAGTGGGCACAAGTGGATATGAGGGCAGCTGCGGGCATGAGGGTGGCTGCAGGGGGGGGGCACCTGGCGGTGGTGGGGGCATAGGCTCAAATGGCCTGGCTGCAGTGCTCAACTCATGCCATGGATATTTGGGGAGGGATACTGGGGGAATGGTTAGCAGCAATAGCAGGTGGGAGACTCACCTGTGAAAGGCAAGGAGGCTTTGCAGGTGCTGTTGTGACAGCCCCGTCATCCTCCTCCTCATTGGAGGATGAAGCGGTAGCCTCTGTTGCAGACCCAGCGCCGGCAGGCAGTGAGGTAATGGACAGACTGGCATTAGCCTACTCTTGACAGCATTTGTTGTGGGTGGCAACGACCTCCTCTGGGGAGAAGGAATTAAGACTGGCTATAATAGCAAGCAGGATGGGAATAAAAGAAGCAGAAGGCATAACCCCTGACCCTATCTCATGCTTTTTCACGAGAAAGAGGACTCGCATCCATAAGTCTGGTTCCCACATATTTTCTGGGGATATCCAAGGGGCCAAGACTGCAGCCTTATTCCAAAAGTCCTCCAACTCAGCAGACTTAACCTTGAGCCATCTGGTAACTAAGGGGAATTTTAGGGCACGGACCTGGGGTTCCTTACAATAAGAAGGAAGTTTGCCCATTTTGGTGAACCTTAGACAGACAAAACAGAGTGTGTGTGTCAGACCAAAATGTCTTGTGCTTAGTGGGGGACTTCTGTGGTTTGTTAGGCCACAGCCATATGCCCACACGGTGTCTCCGGTCTGGGAGTGTCTTTTGGGAGAACGTTCTGGGTTCCAACTCCTGGGGGGTTAGCCCTTATGTGGAGACGCCGGGCGAACCGAAACCAAAAGAATGTACCTTCCTAACACTAAGACAAGCAAACATAAAGAAAGAGAAAGAGAGAGAGACCCTCATGCTTACCTCTCAAGAGGGCAAAGAACACAAAATACAGAGGGGCCAACTTACCGAAAATACACCAAATGGGGGCACTGAACCGTGCCATGAAGAAAAAGGGGACATGGTGGGACTTCTCCAGCACAAGAAAGTGAAACTAAGGCCGATCTCTGGAGTGGTCAATGCACAGCTGGCAGAAAAGTGCAAAGAACACGGTCCAGAAGAGAAAAGCGGCTACCACAATGATGGCTAGAACCCAAGGAAGGTCATTGCCCATGCCAGCATGGGGAGCCCCACGTTGGGTGCCAGATATTGCTGCCGCCCACTTCCAAGCCCCTTGCGGGGTGGGGGTAAGAAGGCACAGAGTCAGTGACACAGATTCCGGGAGTCAGGAAAGTGACAAAGCAGACTCATTTATTGTGGATATTGAGCATGCCTATATACCCCCTCCCGGTGTCCCATTGGTCCCTCAACTGCTCCATGCTGCACTGTCTCTTTCTCAGTGGTCTCTCTCGTCACATGTTCTTGCATCAGCTGTTTCTCCATGGTCAGGCAGATTTCAGGTTGGCTTAAGGGGAAGTAACTGTTGCGTATGCGCCATAGCATGTTTACCAGGCCTGTCAGCTCTTCCTCCTACATTGGTGGACCTCTATTCTCTGTAGTATCGAGAGGTTGAGGTAGACCAGATGCTGGCACTGACTCTGGAGCCATTGATCATATCTGAATTTGCCTCTCAAAGGAGAGTACCCATAGGTGAGAACTCTATAATAATAGGTTGTTTCTGAAAGAGTTATCCTTAATCATTGACTGATTTCAAAGTGCATTTCTTAGGCAGTAATATAAATTTAAGAATGAAGAGTTTAGGAATACATTTGTATAAACTTCTAGGAAGATCATTGGGAAGGGCACTTGTGCTGGATAGCTTTAGTGTCAACTTGACACACCTGGGTTGAGGGAGCCTTAACTGGGGAAGTTCCTCCATTAGGCTGGCCTGTGGCCATGTCTGTGGGGTGTTTTCTTAATTGTTGAGTGATGTGGGAGGGCCCAGCCCACTGTGGGTAGTACCACCCCTGGGCAGGTGGGCCTGTGTTGCATAAGAAAGCAGGCTGAGCAGGGGCCAGGGAAGCAAGCCAGTAAGCAGCATTCCTCTGTGGCCTGTGCTCCAGCTTCTGCCTCTGGGTTCCTGCCCTAAGTTCCTACCTTGGGCTCCCTCAGTGATGAACTGTGACCCAGGAGATGTAAGCCAAATAAACCCTTTCCTCCCCAAGTTGGTATTGGTCAGAGTGCTTTGTCACAGCAATGAAGAAACAAACTAGAACAGGCAGAGAGAACCATTGATAGGAACTGTTGAAACAAGAGGATGATTTTTATAAAATTTAGCAGAAAAAGCTAATCTAATGTTTTTTCCTATTGAAAAACAAAACAAGTTTTAATCCTTTGAAATAAAAATTATAAATGGAAGAACAATAAAACATGGTACCACACTTGAAATTTCAATGTGATAGTGATAGGGAACCCTTGGATTAATATATATAT